CCGAGTGACACTGTCTTTTGGAGCTGAGCTGGTGTTATTTTGCTGCTGTTATTATTGCCTCCTCTTGGGCAAACTATATACGGCCTTTGTCCCATCCATTTCTATGGTTTTAGGAGAAAATGTACACTCTGGTTTTATTTTAAATGTGGAGGTTTACAAATATCCTTATAACTAGGCCCTCAAATGCCCTCATCAGGTAATGGTCACTTTCAGGCCTCTGAGGTGGATTTTTCTCTGCTGCCGCCCAGCCTCTTCTTCCCTTTTCTCTGTCTGTCCTGCAGTGGATGTGATTCTGGACCCAGACACAGCCCATCCCCGCCTTCTTGTGTCTCCAGATCTGAAGAGTGTGAGGTGGAGAAGCAAAAAACAAGACGTTCCTGACAACCCTGAGCGATTTGAGAACATGTTCAGTGTACTGGGCCATGGGAAGTTCTCTTCAGGAAAACATTGGTGGGAAATGGAGGTGGAAGTGGAGGAAATGGAGGAGACGACGAGGGCACTGTGGGCTGTGGGCGTAGCGCCAGATTCTGTGGTGAGAAAGGGAGGGAAGACAGTCCCTACTCCTGAAGAGGGGTTCTTGGTTGTGGGGAAGCTGTTTGCTGGTTCGTTCTCATCTGGTCAGCTCATGGCTTTCACTTCTCCTAACTGGACCGCTTTGACCTTGAATCGTGAGCCCAGGAAGATCCGGGTGTCCTTGGACTATGAAGAGAGCTGTGTAGAATTTTTTGATGCTGATACAGGCGATTTGATTTTCAATTTCCCTTCAGCCTCATTTTCTGGGGAGGCGATCCGCCCCTTTTTCTTTTTGGCTGGGGATATCAGAATGAATGGCTAAATTCTGAGTAGGATTCGCATCACCCCCACTGTTTCCACCATTCCAAAAGACAGGTTCTCGAGAGCCAGGTGAGATCTTCATGGTTTTCAAGAAGAACGTCTGGTTCCTCAGACCGGGTCCATCATCTTCCATCTGTTGAAGAAATAATCCAAATTTTTTTGGGGGAGGTAGATATGTTGTCGAAGGAAAGTTAGGTTTTGAAGCTTTCTTCTGTTGAATAACCAGACCTTATCCCCCCCCCCCGGAGAAACAAAAGACAGAAAAAATGTTTTGGGATAGGTTTTCTGTGTCTTGAACATCTACCTGACTAGGACAAATTACACAGGGGCAGGCCTCTGTTGACTGTTGCCTATAATGAGGCACAGGCTCCCTGCCTCAAAACAGAGATGTGAGCCTTAGCATGGAAAAAAGGCCTCCTTATTTAAACTCTTTTTTTTCTGCTGCTGATAAACATGGTTATGTCAAAACATTGTAGTGAAAGGTAGTTTCTGACTCTGTCTGTTCACTGTTAATGACTCCTATTTATTTCCACCATTTTTGCTCCAAACATGAGCAAAATATTTCCAGTCAGAAAGCAGAAGTGGCTTGTTGCGTGGAACTCTTATTAGTACATCTCCTTGGAGCTCAGGTGTCTGCATTCCTGGAGGCCATCTCTCCTCTGACTGGAATCAGGGCAAGAAGCGCTCCAGATTGAAACAGCGTTTGTTCAATCCCTTGCCAATCCATCGCTGACCTTAAGTGCTGATTCAGCCCTCAGTACAGAAGAACTGTATTTATGTGCTCACCTGATAAAGTTATATACAAGACCGTGACCATTCATGTAGGTATAACACCAGATTAAAAGACATACTTATGCTAGAACTCATGTTTAAAGGGAATGGGCAAAAAAGTCTTAGACAAATCACAGCATTCTTCCAGATAATAGCAAAGATAACAGTTTTCCTTTTTCCCTTTTTTTTTTTAACACTCTAGTCTATCACCCAATAGATAGATAGCAAAGAACCAGCCTCTATAGATGAGCAGTCTTGAGAATAGAACTAGCACAGGCAAAGTAAGTAAGGGGAGCTGCTACTTTTGTAGGATCAAGAAAACCCTCCTGAAGTTCACAACGATGGGTAGAAACACATTGGAAGAAAGGCTCTTGTCAGGGGAAATGTGTGCTATTGTAAGATCTGGGGGTTTTCCCCTCTGTTGACTGTAAAAGATTCCGTGTTAGTTCTTCTATCTTCTCTAAGACTGAACACAGCTTGAACCGTGTATATCAGGTATGAGAATAAAAGCTACTGTTATTTTGTATTATATTAATGATCTTTTTTGTTTTATTTCTTTATTGGCTGATTGATACACAAAAATACATCCATTTTTGAAAGCCAACGTATAATTCAACCATGGTCATTCTGGCATGATTTCAGTCAATGTACAAAACACTGTTAATCCTTGTAGAAAAGTTAATGTTGATAACATGCGGGTGCCAGTTTATCTCAGTCTGAATTTGTCCTTGGGGTAAATTTCCCCCTGGCACTTTTGGGGATTCAGCTCCTTGCGTTCCACAGCAGTGATGCACAACTCAGAAGGATCGCAGACACTGTGTATAAAATCCTGTGCAATAACCGTCTCAGACAACACTTAAGTATTACACGGATGGACAGGTGCATTGGCTATCAATACAGTATGTTTTGCCAAATATTTAAATTTTATTAAAGACTGCCCCATTTCATGGTCTCTGAGTATGTTTTGAATATATAGCAGAAAGTTAGTTTAAAATTTATACAGGAGGGGGGAAATCGTGTAATCCACTGTATTGTTTGAAAATTATGGGGAAGGTGAAGCGGGGTTGCCAGCTTTATATCATAATGAATGAAAGTTGGTGGTGGAAAGCACTGTGATGTTGCAGCCAAGTTATGTAGACCCCTGTAGGGTTTTGAGGCAAGAGACAAAGAGGCAGTTTGCCATGGCCTGACTCCGCATAGCAACCCTGACCTACCTTAGAGGTTTCCCATCCAAGTACTAACCAGGGCTGGCTCAGCTTAGCTTCTGAGACCTGATGCAAATCCTGGTCAGGGCATGGAAGTTAGCATTGGTAAAAGACAGAACTGGCTTGGCTCTCCTCCTAGAGGATTTCAAGGAATGAAAATGGAGGGATATTTGCCAGTTTTCCCTATCCTGCTGCGGACCTAAAACTCCCCTCGTGACATTCGTCAGGAAAATCCCCCCCCCCCCAAAGAATTATTTTTTGTATTTCAATTTTTTTTTTTTTTATGGTCCCCAAGAGAATGTAATGGAGGAAACAGAAACTGAGCAGGTACTCTTCTGGTGCAATATTAAAGCATTAACAAAGTGACATGGTAGAAATCCTAGAACCCTATAACCAACTATGGAGCATCTGTACATTCTAGCACGCAGGGAAGAGAGAGATATCCCAGAGAAATTGTCGTAGGGTGAAGTAAAAAACAAAGTCTTTATAAAAAGGTTCATTGTAAAAGGGAAAAAAGAAAAAGGGTGGTTAGCATAAAAAAAAGTTGTGGGAAGGAGGCAAAACAAAATACAGGGGAAATGCACAGAGCAATGCAGCACAAAGCTGTTCAAATAAAAAACAATACAGTTGAACAGCTAAGCTAAACATGTTACCTAGGCT